TATAATCTCTCCTTAAAGATTTCTTTTCTCTTAATACTTTTTCCATTGGTTTCCCAGGACAGAATTTCTAGAAACTAATTGCCAATATAATCTCAATTTTCATTCATAGATGGAAGCTTTTTGAACAGAGAGGGAAACTCTTAAACTACACATAGATGAACAAAATCACAAACCCAGACGTAATCAAAAGGATTTCTCCTTTGTCCTTCCTCTAATCCCAGTAGTTCTTTCTCTTGCTTGTGTTCCTTTGACCTATGGGGTCAGTCTATCTCATGGGTTAATTTAAACTTAAACGTAAACTGTGTGAACAATTGTCTCAGCTAGACATGCTAGAATGGATTTGGGCTCTACAAAAATGAAATTAAGAGGAAAAGAAATCTGGAGTTAGAACAAATTCAGAACTAAACAAATGTCTTGAAAAAATGAGCAGGAAAGCAGACTAATACTTTTGAGAATCACACAGATCACATGGCTTTAAATATTAATTTTTCCCACTTCTGTGCCTTACTGAAACCAAGAAATATTATTATGTCCTTAGTGGGTAGATCTATTACAGCTCCTACAGTATTTTTAACTTATTTATAGTTATAGATGTTTTCATATGTATTTTTTTTCTATTTTTAATTTTTTCTGTACTTTTTTGTTCTATATGTATGTGGATTTCTGTCCCCACAAACTCTTGAACTCACTGAAATGCATTTTCAGTTTTTTTCCACCACCTGGTTGATAGCTATGCCATTCACAAGATCTATACTGTTAACTTCTGTTATTTTTCCATTGAGAAAGAAACTAATACAAAAAACACCACCCTTAAATCTGTAGCAATCTTTCCATGAGGTTTTTAAAAATTTATATATTACCTGTAGAAAGATTCACTAATTGCTGACCTTTTCTTCTGTTTTCACAGCTACAGAGTCCAACAGCTTAAAAGCAGGTTGGATTGAAGTAACACCAGTTCCAATAGGGCAAAAGGCTGAGCAGCCTATGGACTATTCCACTTAAGCTGGTTTTAATTTTAATGTTTTTCCTTATGGTAGTATTTCATAAAATAGTTCATCACATTAATTTTAATGAAAACAGCAGGAATTCTCATTAAATGAACAGTATTACAATTCACCATGGGATTAAATGCTCCTGCACTCCGGGACAGGGCTGTGATGCAAAGGTCCTGAGGGGTGACTTGTGGTTCAAAGGACCAGGACACTGGGGAGAACTCAGGTAGCTCATGCTAGCATGGACAACCAGCTTCCTTGCACTTTCATAATTCATTTTGAAAGCAAAGTCTTTAAGTTCCAGGCCTGTACAACATCATGTGGAAGGAGAACAAGATCAAAAACCCAGCAGCATAAACTGGAAAGCGGCGTTTCTTCCTGGTGTGCCAGGAGTGAAGGCAGTAATTCTGCCTGCACTCTGAAACCTGGCAGGGTCAAAGGGGCTATGAATATTGCATGGCAGGGGAAAATTGCTGTTCACTGCTGACTGCTGTGGGTGCTGACACTAACACGAATAATCCCTGGACTATTTCACAAAATACAAGTGTCTGTGGTGGCAAAATGTGGCCAAGTTAAAGTACACGGGAGCATTTCTTTCCCAGCAATGCTGGCATTTGTTCTCAGCTATTTGAAACCCATGGAGCCAGATTTACAGGAGTAAAAACAAGAATCACAAAAAACATTTTGCAACAAAAATACAGCTTTATTTAATTTCAACATTTACATTACTTCTAAAGAAAATATGCTGTGTTATATTGGGCATCTCTGAAATCAGCAAGCATTTCAAGAAATGGCATATTCGTTTGTGTATCTCTGGGGTTAATTATGCTAGTACATAAGATTATTTCTTGAAAGAAAATGTGATTTTTATTACTGCCTTGCAACTAGCATACCATAAGCAATATTTTTAATGGTGCTTTAAATAAGAGTGATGCTGTAGAATCCTTCTTATTATAGAAACAGGCTTCAAAATTCAGTTTTAGCTCTTGATCCTAATTTGGGGCTGCAAAAGAAAGATTGCTGCATGAACACAGTTTGTCAAAAATACATATTAGTAAGATGCATAACACACACTGAGGTCGCTTAGTTTTCCTAATGTATACAACCTGATGATCTGGCTAAAAAATATAATTCATAGTTTCACAGGAAAAAAAACCTAAAAGATATATTTAGCCATCTCCTTTGTCCTATAGTGTGGGAGAAGATGAAAGCTGGCAGATCAGATTTATCTTGTGAGAAGCTTTCCTATCTTTGCAGCAGCCTGAGGAAAACTGCTTTTAGGACTTAAATTTTCACAGAGCTGTAACTGTTCAAATTCAAACTAAATCTCTCTCCCTGAAATTTAGACCCATCTCTTTTTCTCCTACTCATTGGAAAGATGAAAAAGTGACTAATATCCCTTTATAATAGTTCATTATGAAAAGAGAAACTGCTGTCCCTCTACTCTGTCCTTATTTCTTATCTTCTGTGTGAAGACACTGAAGCCTTTACGTCTTTTCTAATCTCCTATTTGTTTTCCTAGACCACTGATTTGCACTAATAGTGAAAAAAAGAGTAATTATCTTCATCATATTATAAGCATTCCTTTCAACATCTCCCTGAAAGCATCACATCTTAGACTCAGTTTTTCCTCCTCTATAATCCTCAGACTCTCACCTGCAGTATTATTGTCATTCTTTTTCTGTCTGTACCCTTCATATTTCTCTGTATTTTTCTTCATTTAATTGTATCATATTTATTTCAATGTAAGTGTAAATTGTAAGTGAATTTTTCTAAATTAAAATTTGGTCTTCAATGCTGCTTGCAAATCCTCCCAAGTGGGCATTATCTATAAATGGGTAAGCCTATTGTTCATGTCACTGAGAAAGTAATTAATAGCAAAGTTTTATACTGCTAGAGCTAGAAGACAGCATTCTGGAAGTCACTGAGATGTTCTCCCACTCAGGTAGCAAATAACTCTTCCCAGAGTCCTGCTTCCCAATCAAGTACCTATCTACCTTATGTGAATTTAATTTAGTCCATATCTGCTTTGCTTGCTTAGGGATGTCATGTGAGACTACATTGAAGATACACTGTATAAAACACATCCTTGTATCTGCCTTGCTGTCACTGAAGGAAATGAGATCAGCTTGATAGGATTTGTTTCTGACGTGTCTCTGTGCAAATAATCTTATCTTCTTACCATTCTCTAGATGCCCACAAATGTGTTGTTTAACACTTTGTTCCAGCATCTTGGAAATGCTGTTAGGACTGAATTTTCTGTGATTCTTTAGATTTTCCTTTCCTTTTTTGCTTAGATAGAACATTGTGTTTACCTTTCCCTAGTATTCTGGGAATTTACTCATCCTCCTCATCACTAGTGTTTGAGAAATTGCTTAGGTTAAGTATTTTAAGGGTAAATTTCATTAGGCTGTTCCATTGTGAATACTGCAGTTCGCTTCAGTATTCTTTCAGGTGTCATTTTCCATTTCTCTCCATGATCCTACTCTCAAATTCTTAATAATAATTTAAATAAACTTTTAGTCATAATCATTCTCTTTTTCTTTTTTTTTTTTGTGAAGACTGAAACAAGGAAAGAGGAAAAAAAAGGCACTGAACTTTTCAGCCTTTTCAGTATCGCCTATTTGCTGACCTCTCTTGCTAAGTATTACATTAAGTCAGCTCTCAAGCATACTACGTTATTTGCAATGTGGTATTGTTTAACTCTAGCAAACCATTCATTTAATGGCAGTGTGTGGTTATGTGCTCAAATATATAAAAAAATCATCTTATTTCCCTGACATCCTTTCACAATCTAATCAGAGTATACCTCAATTTCTTCCAACCATTTGATTGATTCCGACTTAAAATTAATTCTATTGTGACTTTATTCTGTCATGCTAAGAACTGGAATTATTCTGCATTGGTAATTAGTCATAGAAAATCATTCACCAAATATAGCCACCTTATTGTCCAAACACTGAATTGTATACCTAAAGCATCCTATCATCATTTCAAATAAAATGATGAAAATTTTGATAAAGTGACACCAAAGTAGTTACATATACTAATTTTGACTGTAATCATATTTTTTAAAAATAGCAATACTCACCATCATATCTAAACAGATCCTCTTTCATTGGAAACCTATAGAAAAATGACAATAAAAAGTGAAAACAAAGTAAAGACAAAAATACAAACTGCAAATGTTATGCCAGAAGAGTTGTAAAAACTGGTGGAAAACTCCATAGAGCACTTTTTTTTGGGTTTTTTTATCACTGCTTTGCTGCAGTCTTAATTTACAGCTCTGCTTATTGAACAAGGAATGATTTTTCATGCATTGACATTCTTGAGGAATTCTTCCCACAGCAATTTCAACAGACAAGCATCACCTTGACTAATCACACACCAAATTCACATTGGTTTTCCACCTTCCACTTCTTTTTTGAACCTCCTGCTCAAAGGACAGAGCATGTGGCCAGCCTTGCATTCACATGACAGAGGTGTTGCTTGCCTCCCCCTTAGCAAGGATTTTGCCAGTCTTCTGTAACAGCCTGGCACCCAAACCAAGGAGAAGGATAGACTACAGGATGGACCAGTGCAGCCTGTCCCTATCTGGGACACTGGTCTGCAAAGACAGTATTCAACAGTTCAAAATGTCTGCTCCAGGTGGTATTTCAGAGGATGCTAGGGTGATGTCTCCATCAGAGATCTGAGGAGTCTACATGTCCTGGAAGTCTGTGGACGTTCCTAATTTGGAGGGAGAAAGAGGCTGATATGTCAGGGGTATGACTCCCATTCTGGAGGACTTTGCCAAACTGGAGGAATGGGCTAGCAGAAGATCCATGAACAAAGGCAAATACAAAATTCTGCACAGGGCAGGAGACAAGGAGGGGTGGAAGAAGTGAATAACCTATGCAATGGCACAGGACAGTGACTGACTGACTGACTGACTGACTGACTGACTGACTGACTGACTGACTGACGGAAGTGAATAACCTATGCAAAGGCACAGGACAGTGCCTGACTGACTGACTGACTGGCTGACTGACTGGCTGACTGGGTGACTGACTGAGAAGCAGCTCTGCCGAGAGGGACGTGAGGTCTGACACCACACAGAATGTGCATCAGTCCAGCCTCGCTGTGATGAAGGATAGCCTCACACACAGTTGCATTAATTAGAGCATAGCCAGCAGGCTCAAGGAAGTTATTCCCTCCCCTCTGCTGGGCACTAGCGTGGCTGCATCTGGAATGTAGTTTCCATTATTGAGCCCTCATAATAAAAAATAGATTTTGCTTCGTCAAGCAAAAGGAGGAAACCAATGGACAACTGTCAGGATGATTACAAGTGTTTGTTGATTTCTGGGAAAGATGTGTGACAGATGAGGGGTGGCTACAGGTAGCACTAGTTTAACATAAAGAGTAGACTATGGGGTATTTATTTTCTCTTTCCAGCGATTTAAGAAAGGTTTAATGACAGCCCAGATTTGCATGGTAAAAGAAAACAAGGCAGCAAGTGGTGAAATTTTAATTAGCCATAAAGAAACATTTTATATCATATAGTGATCAAACACTATAGCTAATTTTAATCTGATTCTATGATTCTAATTACTTATGCATTACTTAAGTGTTGAATAATTAAAAAAAAAACTTCTTTAGCCTACAATTATGTTCTGTTGAGGTATTCAAGTCAAGTGCTTTTCCTCTAAAACTATTTCTCAGAACTCCTGCCATTCTTTGAAGGGGACCAATAACAACAGCTGTTTCTTAATGCCAAGTGAAATTAGATTCAAATTGCAGTTTGAATCACATACAGATATTTCAAACTTTATCATTCTTTCAGACTTTTAAATGTAAACTTATAAAACCAATATATTTACAGTAATTATTTTTATGCAATCACCTTACAAATAAAATTCTATAAATGCATATAATGCTTTCTCCTTGTTACAGCACAGTGATCTAATATGTCCTTTCAAGTCAGTAGGCTATAACTGAAAGTTTTTACTTAAGAGAAGAAGATATAGTTGAAGCTGACTAAAGTATTGCCAAAATACCTGATGCACTATAAATTTCCTGTTGAACATACAAAATCTTAAAGAAAAAAAAAATAAAGCACTGTTCAAGTATAAAGTAACTAGAAAGTTTGTCTGCTGATATTTAAGGTTTTTATTTGAGATTTTAGAAGTATGCATTATTTGGACTGGCCTTTCTATTTATCAGAAAGAAACAGTTTACTGTTTCAGTGGCCTATCCAATTTAGAGGTTAAAGAATTTATCACCACTGACACCTGGAAATCCTACTCCTTTAGTAAAAACAGTAGTTAATCCTACATTTAATGTTCATTTTCAGGGTCATTAAATTTTCAGCTAAATGAACTGCTATAAGCCTATGGAGAGAACCTGGGGCTGCACTCTTGTCTTGATCAAAATAAACCAAGGGCGGTGAGACCCCTACTCCAGAGAGGAACAGGGGTCTGAACAGAGCAATGTTCTGCCATTACAGTCTACACCAGCTCCACTGTCTGGGGAACAAGGCTGCAAATGTGTGCAAGATTGAAAGCAAAAAGTGAATAGCACATCTGTGATGTGACACATGAAGAGCCCTCTGACACATGAAGAGTCTGTCTCCTAGGAAGGCACAAGGAGCAGCACTGTCTTTTTCCCAAACACGTCTGGAAAGATCTATCTCGGTGCCAAATGGAAAAGGTGGTGCTTGCATAAAGTTGACCTTTGAGTGGGAGTGTTTCCAGTGGAGTTCCCTCTATTTCCATTAGGTCCTTTCTTTGACAAGCTGGAATCTTCTTCACAAGTTGAAAAGGTATTGAGCAGTATACAAGAGCTGAATCATTACAGAATAATTCAGGGTCCAGTGAGGAGGATGTTTAACTGGAAGAACATCGCTTTGCCGTGACAATGTCATTTAGGTTGGAGTTTTTGTTTACAGTAAAACCCTTTACATAAATTCTGTAGTACAAGGACACTTTCATAAAATGGGTACATTTTCCTCTTATAGGTAGAATCTATCAATGATTAATACTATTGTTGACTTCTGAGCAGGAACACTCCTTAAGTAAATAAAGACTAAGAGCAATGTATAACAGAACTTTGGACCATATTGACATTTTCATAGAATTTCAGATTTCAAGAACTTTTGTTACTTTGCACAGATCCAGCTGGTAAAATTATGTCACTACTGAAGTCAATAGAATCAACTTTCTATCATGGGGTCTTTTTATGAATGTTGACTTTAGAAATGCTATTGATTTCTCAAGTAACTATTGCAGATCTTTCATGAACAAACAAACAAATAAAACTGAGTAATTACTTACTCAACTGCAGCAAAAAATTACACGGACCTGAAGTAATTGTATTGGTAACTGCAATTAGTCATTTATTAGAAATTGTAATTGTAGACTTGGGATTATGTAAATCATAGATGAATAAGGGTAATGAGGACATACTTTTGGCCCCTGCACACAATGGGTTTTTTTTCAGATTATACAGGTACATATGCCCAACGTTCTCTCTAAAGGCTCTGACTCAGTAAAATTCTGAGAGTGATTATAACACCATTCACACGTCATAGCCTGGGCAAACACCAGCTTTACTTGAAAGGAAGATGGTAGGTATCAGAAACATATTGTTTGGCTATGTTTCAAAGAGTATCCTTCAGCCTTACTCCATTTAAAATGCACTGGTTGTAGAGGAGGATTTCACAAGGAAGATAATATCACTTATTTATTTTCTTACATTCACAGGGAAGTCACAGGTCTTACTTGGTACATGCCATAACAGAATGATGCTAAAATTACACGAATGCTATTCTTCCGAATACAAAGGTACCTCCATCTTGTTTGTTAGCTTGTTTTGGGGTTTTTTTATTATTATTTCCAGTGAATACTTTGCTTTGAGGAAAACAATACAAATTACTAAAAAGAAACTAGCAGCACATTTCCCTCATTTCCTCTCTCACTCCTTCCTGGAGGTATTTACATTTCACAGAGCATCTGCTCATCCATTTGGGTTTTTTTGGAACTGCACAAATCACACTTACTTTCTCATTCTGAGGGAGGAACATTGTAGGAAAAGTTAAGTATGATCCTATATATAATTGTAGATAAAGAAGGCAAATAATAATTTAGATAATATAGGAGAATGATCTAAGGGTCTTATGATAGCTGTAGGAGTAAAATTGGGCTTATGACTTGGCAGATTTTTTCCTAATCAGTTCATCACCCAAAGAGAATTCACTAATAAAAAAAAAAAGAGAGATATTAAATTAGGTGAGGATTTGTGGGTTATGAAACTCATAAGGTGGAAATTCGGTATAAACTGTTCCTAGAGTCAAGATAGTCTCCCAAATAAAAAGGAACAACACAGGTGCCTGAAAGATGCTGTGGTTTTAAAAATCATCAACCAAGACCTACTTTGCTTTTTTTAATGCATTAGAAAGGGAAAGCATTATAACATACAATTCTGAAAACCGAACCACATAAAAGAGAAAATGGTGAAAATGTGTTAGTTTTTCTGAGACAGCTTGACAAAACTTATCTCCAGGAAGAGACAGCTAAGAAGGCTGTCCCAAATAACTTGAGATGCTCCTAGTTCTGTGTTGCTCTCCTGTCTGTCTCCAAGACAGCACAAATGTTGATCTCCTTCTGGGTATCAGTGCTGAATACTTCCATTTCCATCAATAGATCTCAAGGGAAACAGATGCCTTTGTTCAGTCCTTCTTGACTGAGAATGAAAAGAGGGGGTCATCTCTAGATTAGTTGGGCCTTCTCTGACCTCCATTAAAGAGACAAAGAGATTGCTCAGCCTTCACGTCACCAGCATGGTGTGTCCTGGTCACCTCCTCCTGCTAAAAATGAGATTAAAAATTTGGGAAAATACTGGATCATTTGCTCTGTTCAAGTGAGTTGAACAGTCCTATGAAAAATACTTTCTTTGATTTGTAATGGAGAAAATTGTAAATGTGTCATCTCTTGATGCTACTTCCCGAGCAGCTTGTCGTGAGCCTGACACAATTCTTCCTGCTATTTCTACATGGACTGAGTCCACTTGCATAATCATAGTGGCAAAATACTCATTAGTGACAGGCCCCAGGGAACCAGCAGTCAGCCTGCTCAGCTGTACAAAATGGTATCTGACACTTTCTTTTAAACTTTAAAGCTAATTATTTGTCTCTAGCTAACATAATTACAAGTTATCCAATAAGACGTTAATCAAAGGAAATACAAAGTGTACTGATAACTGCACTTATGAATCTTCTTCTTTCCCATTGATTGTCTTGCTCCTTATAAATGCAACCACAGTTTCATCAGATGGAGTTGTTCTACAGGTCATGGTACAAATTCTCTGATTCTTGTACTACATTTAAGCTTTTTTTAAAAATATAGATAGAAATTCTGTTCAAAGTGCTTGTTTAAAATATAAAAGAACTTTTAGAAGACAGTTTTAATATATTTTACCTGTCTTGGAACAGACCAAGCTAGGCTCTAACCAAAGGAATTTTGCACATTTTTTGTGCCTGATTTGACTATGTCAGTACAAGATCCTTCACTTTCTGAATTGATCTTAATAATGCATTAGTTAAATTATGTGTCTTGTCTCTTAGAGAATTCTCTTTGAAAATATCTGTCCATTAGATTGGCAAAATTCTTCCTCAATGTGCAAGTTGTAAAGCAGAAGGATGAGTCACAAGGATCTAGTTGTTTGCTTCCCTCTATTTTTAAATACAGGAAAATCATCTGCATCATCAGAGGCTGCAAATATATACACACACACATACACATGTATACATGTATGTGTATATACACCCATTGTAGAGTTCCTGGTGTACTGCAAATCTGCTTAATCTCAAAAACAAATTTATCCTCAGAACTATGTGATCCCTCTCACTGCCTTCTAATGATATACCATTGCTTCAATAATATTTCCAAAACTTTACAGCTGAGATGGAAAAAAAAAACAACCTAACTGAGAAAATCTGAAAGGCATTCTTGGTCTAACTTCATTTTGTGAGGGCATTTTGGGGTTTTCTTTGAATAGCAGACACTGTAACACCTGCTTTTGAGAGAATCAAGAAGTGGCTCCTGGGAGGCAGAGGAAAGGGGATTGATGGTGTAGGAACAAGCAGAAATGTCAAAGGCAAGGAACAAAGGAGGAGATTTGGAGGGCTGTGATGGAGATTCAAACAAAAAGAGATATGAAATAGCTCCAAGTCCCTGACACCCCGTGCAGAGGCCAGGGATGCTCATGAGAATAAGAGGCTACAGTCATGCCTATGTACTCCTGGTGCAGAACCGCAGCCTGTTGATCCACCCAGCCACTAAGATATCAACCTCTTTTCATTTTTATCTTTTCCCCCCCTTTTTTTTTTCCCCCAGTGGAAACTGAGATAAACTGTGGGTATATATTGATATGTTGTCAACAAACTCAGAATTCAGGCAAATCCTCCCCTTCCAAAATGTGAAGAGCTTGACCCCAAAAATCCCACAGTATTTTTCAAAACTAAAAGGAAGTTGCTCATTTGGTAGAAATGAGTGGCAAACATCCATTTAATATATTTAAATGATCATGTGGCTGCTTTCAGACAAACTAGAATCTAATTTTAAAATAATAAATAAAAACAGACTGTTTATAAATATGTAATTACCATTCCTATCTGTATTTTTATATTCATTTAAAAACTAGTGAAATAATTGTGAGAATGCACCTGATAAAAGAGGTCTTGGTACTAAAAAATTCATTCTTGTGTCATAAACATTCTCATATTGCTATTATTGGTGCTAAATTATGCTTTCATAAGTGAATTTCTAAAATAGTATTGAAAATGTCCTGTAATGAGTGGTGTCCTATTACATTCCAAAGCCAGAGAAATGAGTGTGATAGTTAATTGAATTGCATATGTCTATTCCAACATTGAGGCTGTAATTCATCTTCATGCTCATGATCTTGTTGGAAAAAATGACTTGCCAGTGCCAGCTGAATATTTTTAATTTTCTATATGATCTTTCTCAACAGAAAATTGATAATGACTGATAGATTGCATCTTCTCTCACTGAATGAGTTGTCTACAGTGGTAACCACAATGGTCCTACAGTTTAGACACATAAATGTAGTAGGGAATTGGCAACTGAATTTAGACTTCAATAATTTTTTTTATCTTTCTTCAAAGTAAAAAAAAAAAAACCAAAACCTGGCACTGAATTTTGATACTGGGCAAACTTGAATTACATTTTATGTTTTCTTGACTGTCTTGTATAAAATTCTTAATAACTATCCTAAGTGCTGCTGGTAGTTGTTGTAGTACCTGATATTTAAAACAGAAACTATATTAGTGACTGAAAACTGTGGAATGTGTTATTTAAATATGGCTGCATAATTTATCAAACAGCATAATTTAACCATTCTCACTTGCTAACATCCCAACAGCACTTATCAGGAACCTGAAGCATAAATGTTACTGTTATTTCAAATTCACGTAAGCAACACAGTTGGCAAAACAGCTCTGGGTTTTTTTCTTCATTGATCATTAAGAACAATTAATGTTCATGTAGTCTCTGCACTGGAAAATAAAAGCAGGTTTGGAAGCTCAGCACATTTTTACTGATCAACCTTATATGGGCTATGCAAATAGAAGATAAAGCTAGCATGCAAATGCTTAAATCCATTAAATGTCAACTGATTACCTCCTTGGAGATGAGCATCTCATTTTCTGGAATAGCTGCCATGGAAAGACTGGGCTGCCAAGCCAAGATGTCACAGGTCGGAGAGAGCATGCGGTTAAACACAGGGAAAAGAAATCCATTATCAGTTCAATTTCTATATAAAATATCACTAAAATTTAAAATTAAAGCCAATACCCTCAGACATGCTAAGGATAGCAAGGCATTGAGATCTGTGCTCAGCAGACTCTCACTACTCCTTGTCTGGATTAAAATCTATTTCAAGGTATGGCCTGTTTTCTGTTATATTATATTCCCATAATTAAAAGTGTGGGGAAGGGATAAAATCCCTTTTGAATTTCAAAGAGGCATCTCAAGTAAAAATCACAGTACAAGCGCCTACTTTATGATATGTTTAGTATGAAATAATGCACTTAAAGTTATTTAAAACTAGAACCATACCAACATCAATGAGAATTTCATTAGAATCCAGGTAAATCAGCTGGAGTGTATAAACGCAGTGTTAAGATCATAAGTTTGTGACATTTTCTTATAGAGTGACACAGAAACATCATGTTTAAAGAAAAGGTTGCTGAAAGTTTTGAGGTGTGGGGGCTTGAGGATTCTCTAAAAGATTGGAAGAAGCCTGCTATTTTCAGTGTATCAAAGGCATTAATTTATTTTGCCATTTAGATCAAATAGTAAATCAGAAAATTATGTGTTGCTTTAAAATATTGCACTTCTAAGAAAGTTGATTTTTACACTGTGCTTTTTGAGAAGCAAAACTGATTTGCTAAACTGGCCTTGTACACAAAGAAATATACTGAAGTGGAATATACTCTAATTTTCTGCAATTACTTTATGGATATGTTATATATTTCTCTTTTCCTTTGTAAATTTGCCCTGATTTCTTTCCAGAGAAGAAGGAATCTACTTTAGTAACAACAGAAGCTTTGAACCATTTAACTTCTTTTTTTGTAATTATTATTCTCAAAAATGAAAAGGGAAGGGAACAACTTTAGGCAAGAAATTTATTTATTCAATAGATTTTTATAAAGGAATAAATTTAGGCAGAAGAAGGGTAAGGAAGGGGTAAGGTGCCTAGATCCTCTCAGGGGCAACATCCCTCCCTCTGACACTCATGTGGCTCCCAATGCCAACCAGGCCAAGGCTTCCCCCAGACCTTACACCACCCCCTGCTGCTGCACACACAGCAGGTGTTTGATGGTCAGCATGGAACAGAAGTTCTGCTTCCAAACCCAGCATCCCAAGATTACCAAGCCTAGGCAATCCTTGATGACACACAGGTACAAAGTTCTAGCAACACAAGTTCTGCACCTTGGCAAGTGTATTCCACTGAAAGAAACCCTAGAGTTGAGATTTTCATTGTCTCATCAGAATATGGCATATCTGTGCCCCAGACAAAGTAAGAAGGGTCAACCACAAAGAGATGAAGGAAAGTATTTTTCATATTCTGTTCACTTTCTGATGTACAGCTAAGTCTCTAAGAAGAATTCTCCACTGCTCACAAGAAAGAAAAGTTCCCTAGTCAGGCAGTGACCTGAGAAAGGAACACCTTTTTCTCAAATTGCACAGAGAGAAAATCAATGAAAAATGCACTTCTATTGTGTTATCTCATCCTGGCCTTTCTTGCTGGTACTCACTGCCTGCCCTCTTAACCTGAAATACCCCTCTGAGTCATGATTCTGCCTTACCTTTTTCTTGAATATGAGGTCCCAAGTCCATCCTTAGACCTGAGAAAAGTAATTACTTTTTTTTGTCCAAGAAATAGATTGCTTCCCTTATTTTGATAGCATCCTCTTTTCAAACCAAAGAGCCAAACTGTGTGACAGTCTCCATAGGGAGGAAAATTATTCCTATTTTCTGGAGAGATCCTCTTAATATTAATTGTTTTGGAGATATTTAATTAAAAGAAGGCAAGGAATTCACCAAATAATAATGAAGAAAAATCGTTAGTCAACCATATAGAGTCCTTTCTGGTTCCACAAGGCTTCTCTGACCAAAACGCCTTGAAGTTACCATAGAAGAGTCTATGCTTTCTACTAGTCAGGTGGGTCTAGTCTTAAGAAAGTAACATATGGCTCATTTTCAAAGAACTTTAAGTAGTACTTTAGTGAATATAGAACACATAAGCCAAGTACTGCACCCTTTTTCTGCTGAAATAATACTTAGTCTTTCAGGTCCCTGAAAGGAAGGTGTTCAGATATTGCCTGAAATCATGCAATTCTGCCTCTGCCAGCTGCAAAGGAAATGAATGCCTTCGCCTGGGTGACATCAGCCCAAAGACCCAGAGGCTGATTACCAGTGTTATTTCTATCACGTGTCAGTGTAAACCAAAATGTGTCTGCCTTGCTGTAGAAAATGTCCCACACTTATCCTGAGTTTAACCAAAAGGCTACAGAATCTTGTTCTTTCCTTCCTGATTTTTCCTTAAAAATATGATTTTTTTGTGTTCTTGACCGTGCATGACACAGTCAACTTCAAAGTACCAGCACATGAAGTAGGCAGAATGAGGCTGGATTAGCCCTTTCTTACTAGATATTGTGTGACTATCAGAGTCATACAGGAATGGGTTTTGTCCACCAGATCTGAGATGTGAATGCAAGTAGGACTTTGTACTTTTTATGGGTGTGTAGTATCAGTGAGACCTCATCAAACTCTGTCATTGGCATTCTTTCATCTTCAGGTCAAAGCAGCTGGCAAGAAGCCCTGTCTCCTATGCAAATGTGAAAATATTGTGTCTGTTGATGAATATTGCTTTTATAATTACTACTCTTTTTTTCCTGTGACAGTTACAAAATTCTGCATTACTCTTATAAGGTTAATCAACAATTTTCAACTTTTCCAGATGTTACTCAGATTTCTCTTAATGTGGCATTTTTTCTTCATTATTTCTAAGAACAGTGAAAGAGCAAACTAGGCAAATCTGCATTTGTGACTGAAAAATTGTACTGAGGAGAGCAGAGTATCTTTACAATATGTAAGTACTAGCAGCATGTAATTTCAAAGAGAAATTATACACCTGCTTAAAATAACCTCTTACAGACTAAGACAAGACTTAGAAAGAGGTGGTTATATAATATCTTTATTAGACCTTTGCTCATTTAGTTCTGTAATCAGCAAGACATATTTGCCTTTAAAAGGTCAGTTGATCTTTATTGTGCTATGAATCACAGCTGCCTCTGAACTAATATAAAGCTTTCTGAATTGTTCTCAGTGTAAGACTTTTTTCATAAATCTACGTCACTCTCTGGAGGGTCCGCAACCTTTGCTAATTGAGACACCAGCTTAAAACTGGATCCATTGAGAGATAACACACATAAGAAGAATTTTTCGACTATAGTAACCAGAGAACATTCCCATTTACACTACTCTGTCAAGTCTTTAATCCCCTTTGAAAATAAATTAGGTACTCTAGACCCTTATTAAACATAGATACATTCCTTCACAATAGGAAAAACAGCTGATTTCTCAAATACTAAAAACAGTAATTTAAACATGTACAACAAGGAAATATTTTCATTTAAAAGTTTTATGTCTCTCCGCTTTATCTTAGTCACAATGAACATGAAACAAAACTCATCAGAAGAGCTAATGGCTTTGTCCTATCTTCTATTCTATTAAGGAGTTATAACTGAGGATTATGACCCGGAGCTTTCAACTGAGACAATTATACGGATTTTTAGGAAAAGTTTCTCAGAAGGAACGTCTGTGATGTTCAGCTTTCATTTAACTTCTTTATGTAATACAAAGGGTCTGTTTCCATTTTAATTTTGTTATTTTAGTTTAAACTTTTATCTTCTAAATTGCATTGGTTCCCATGTGTCTCAAAGACAGTTACCCTCTGAAGACAGCCACCATGGTAGGTAAGAGTATCTTCAGCATTCCAGTTGGAATTGACTGTTTATTTATGAGAAATGGGAACTAATAAATGGTAAACCACCCACAGAAGCACAGAAAGGAATACTTTCAACTAAAGGGAAAGAAAATAATATCATGTAAAGAGTCAATTTATGATTATAATGTCTCTTGTCTCTTTGAAATGACACAGTATAAAATTTATTTCAAAGATTCAGTCCTTAAGAACCAAATTCTTTTGCATCTTGTACCTCTGTGAAAAGGAAAAGTAAAGTAGAAATAGCAATCACAATACAGATTTGCAATGTGCCTTCAGACTTCTGCAATAAATCATCCTGACAGACTTGCAAATCCTTATTATACACTATTGTAGCCGTGTGCTTTTATTTTGAAGATTTCAAAACTCTTTCCAGGTACTGAAAGTACCTGCAAAAAAGAAACAACTGTCATGCAGGCATGGCTTCCTGACAGGTTCTTACCAGACAATGGCCCAGAGGTCACCAGAGTGCAGTGAGACTGGGAGATTTGAATCTAAATAGAATGAGTCATAAAACCACCAAAAGGTTTGGTTTGGAAAGGACCTTAAAAATCACCTAGTTCCAACCCCTTCGCCATGGGCAGAAGCACCTTCTACTAGACCAGCTTGCTCAAATTCCCATCCAGCCTGGCCTTGAACAGTTCCAGGGATGGCACATTCACAGCTTCTGGACAACCTAACACCAGAGAACACCGGAGGCTGGAAGAGTTACAGGGCTTTGCAGTAAGGATTCCTCATCTGTAAGTGGAGTGGGAGGGAGATGCATGCAAGCCCAGCAATACACTAATTTTCCTTGGACTGCTTTTTCCCAGATTGACTTTAACTTCACATGCAGGGCCAGTTCACAATGGATTGGACTGAGGATTTTCTGCCAAAAATTATTTTTCAATGAAAAATACTAGCAACAAGAACAACAACAAGAACAACAACAACAAAAATTAAGCTTTCTGCAAAATATTTTGATTCCTCTTGCAAATTCTTGCTAACAATTTAGAAAATTAAAATGAAACATTCAATTGCAAGAAAACCCATCTGCCAAAACCCATAAAATTGTGTTTTCTGTCTTGGATGTTTCATTTAGATCACTTCCCTAAAATACTATAATGCATTTCACTATCCACTTTGTGGCAATCATGTTAAGAGCCTCTATCTTCTGCTGTGG